ACACACACACACGTCAGATACACACTTCACTGAGAAATACTGAGACACACACACAAAAAACAACATCACGAGCTGGCGACCAGAGCCCTGCAGCGCACACACACACACACACACGTCAGATACACAACATTTCACGCATCACGAGCCCTGCAGAACACACACACGTCAAGATACACACTTCACTGAGACACACACACACAGCATCACACGCTGGCGACCAGAGCCCTGCAGCGCGCGCACACACACACACACACACACACGTGTCCTCTCATGGTTAGTCATGAGACGCATCACAGGACACAGTCGTCCGTCGCCTGTAGACACACACACACATTAACACACATTAAGCACATTTAGTTGGAGAGGAAAAATAATTTAAATCCTGTTAGTCTCCTAATGTCGTTTGGTTCACATTCATTCAAGATCAAATCACATTAAAGGGTTCGTTCACCCAAAAATGAAAATGATGTCATCAATGACTCTCCCTCCTGTCGACCCAAGCCCGTCAGACCTCCGCTCATCTTCAGGACACAGTTTAAGATATTTTAGATTTAGTCCGAGAGTTTTCTGTTCCTCCATTGAACATGTATGTATGGTATACTGTCCTTGTCCAGAAAGGAGATAAAGACATCATCAAAGTAGTCCATGTGACATCAGTGGGTCAGTTAGAGTGTGTTGAAGCATCGAAAATACATTTTGCTCCAAAAATAACAAAAACTACGACTTTATTCAGCATTGTATTGTGTTCCGGTTCTGTTTCTGTCATTAATGACATCATTTTTATTTTTGGGTGAACCAACCCTGTAATTCCCTCATAATCTGCACTGCAGCTTCAGCTCTTTCTCTCAGTGTCTGAAACGCTTCCATCGAGGACTCAGTCTCTCTAAGCCCCGCCTCTCTGAGAGCTGCTCTGCTGTGATTGGTCAGAGAGCAAACGCTCATTATCATATCTGAACCTCAGCTCTTGATCACAGTGATACGAACAGTAACGATGGCGTGGGTTTCACCGTCTCAATCTCAGAAAACAGCGTCTCCTCGACACGAACAACACGAGCCGAACTCTCCCAGTCTCAGATACACTAATGTTTGAGGGCGGAGCTAAGAGACGCTGCTCAGCCAATCACTAGTCCCTATAGTGTGTGGCGTTAGAGTGCACTACAGGGAGTGAACGACATGAAGCGAGCGACCTCGGCGCTGGCGTCGCAGACACGGCTTCGTCACGCGTACTGATAAAACTCCTTTATTAAATAATATTAACAGCAATAACAATCATAATGACTTTATTTTGTAATTATATATACTCAGATGACGTGGTCGTTGAGTTTCCTCAGGCCAACATTATGATTTCATTCGAATGAATACGCTTCCTATAATATTAACAAATATTTTTAAAACATCCACCAAATTATCATCTCTTCCGTTCAGTTTAACGAGTTAACAACAATGCCACGAATTATTAAAACACATGGCTGTCAGTGAAACACATTAAACTGAGTTAAGGCCGAAATAATATATTTTAATAAAAAATAATAACCCTTATTAATATAATTTAATTTAATAAAATTTAAGTGGGATTCAACATTTTTGAAGAACAATATTCATTCCCTCAGCACTCCCATTACACACCTAGTTAATTTATCGGTAAAGCAATCAATTTTTCCAACTTCCTGGAAAGATGCAGTGTTAGTTCCGGTCTTCAAGGCAGGGGAACCCACTGATGTTGCTAATTATAGACCCATCAGCATTTTGCCGGTGACATCAAAAATTGCAGAAAAGGCGGTAACCGAGCAGTTAACTGACTTTTTAAATTTTGAACAAATACTTCATCCAATGCAATTTGGTTTTAGAAAAAATAATCGACTGAAATGGCTACTTGCTTTTTTGTTGAAAAAATTAAATTAAAACTAGACAGTGGGAGTGCTGTAGGAGCAGTTTTTTTGGATTTAAAAAAAGCTTTCGATACAGTAAATCATAATGTTCTTCTGTCTAAATTGTCAAATTTTAATTTTTCTGATGCTGCTATGAAATGGATGGAGTCCTATCTTACCATGAGAAGACAAAGTACCAGGGTTGGGAATAAAATGTCATCTTTTAGTAACTGTACTGTTGGCGTCCCACAAGGCTCAGTTTTAGGCCCTTTGTTATTTAGTCTATATGTTAACGACTTGCCATTAGTATGTCCTCAAGTTGATACTCAAATGTATGCAGATGACACGGTCATTCTGGCACATGGAAGAGACAGATACGAAGTGGCAACCAAATTAACAGTAGCAATGGCTAAAATTGCCACATGGCTTTCTGAGTCTTGCATGACGCTAAACGTCAGTAAAACCATGTGTATGTATTTTTATATAAGGAAAAATGAAAATCAGCCAGATGTCGTTGTAAATGGGGAAAAAATCAGGGTTGTGTCACACTTTAAATATCTGGGAGTTACTCTTGATTCACAGTTGTCTTTTAAGAAACATATAAAGCAGGTTTGTTCAATTTAATTTAAGAAATTTTAGACACATCCGTAATCAGTTACCTCTAGATGCTGCCAAATTGTATATGTATTCAATGATTGTTTCACATTTTACATATTGCATTGCAAGTTGGTCACAAACCGGAAAAACAATACTTGCTCCATTACAAAGGCTATATAAACAAACTCTTAAAGTATTGGATAAAAAGCCATCAGGTTATTATCACTACTGCAATATCATTCGAAAACATAAACTTTTAACTTTTGAAAATTGTATGTGTTTTGCTAATGTTTGTTTAGTGTATAGAATATTTAATAATTTGGCTGAGGAGTTTATAATATTGCTCTCAGATAGCCGGAGAACAGCTCGGGCGTCCAGTAGAGGTCACTGTGCAGCGCAGACGTACTGAGTTTGGCAGATCAGCCTTCTCTATCAGAGCCTCCAAGCACTGGAAGTTAGTCCCAGAAGAGATTAGAGACATTAGTACATTCACTTGTTTTAAATATAAAGTAAAATTATGGTTAAAATCTATACAATCATGTACCCATTAATCATGTGAAACTTGTTGTCTGAGAGGCGATTTGTGTGATGATGTTTTATGGTATATTTATATGTGTTTGTTGGATTGTTGATTGTATGTTTTTCTTTCCTGCCCAGGGACTACAGATGAAATTTAGCTTGTAGCTAATTCTGGTATGGCTGAATGCCATACACTGTCCCTGTTAAATAAATAAAAATAATAAAAAAAATTACAATAAAAAATGTAATCTATATAATATTGTCTCAATATTTTAATGTTTTATTCAAGTAATGACTAATAAAAAAAGGTAGAAAAAAACTCATAAAACTAGCGTGAAGTAAAAGTTAAAGCAGAAATCAGAAAGCTGTCAGTAATCTGGTTTAAACTCGCGCTCAGTCCTCTCGCATTGCATTCTGGGAAATAGTGCTTCAGCAAGTGTACATCGAGTGCACACTCGAATTCAGAGAGGATTGTGGGTAAAAGTAGTGAACGAATGTAGGAAATGATGTCGTTCACTCAGAGTTCGGACACCGATGTAGTGCACTATATAGGGAGCACAGTTTGCAGCACTAAATTATTATTATTATTATTATTATTATTATTAACCTCCTCACCAACAACAGTCAACATGAACAAATCACACACAATCCTGCTTGTGTTTATAATAACGTCACTGATTGATCACTCGCAATATGGAACATGAATTAAGAGATTTATGAACATTACAGGCGCTTTCAATCAGATCACGTCGACCGGAGAAAGCCAAATATCCAGACGATTACACACACACTCATTTCAGGACAAGAAGCATTTGTTCAGGGACTGTAATCACACTAATAAGCTCTTTTCCTCGAAACACCAAAGTTTGGTCTAATAATGTTACAAAAGCAGTCTTTAATCCTTCAGTCCTGTAATGAAAGCGGTGATTGTGAATGATTCATGATCACACACACACACACACACACACACACACACTCTGCTGTGTTTTTGTGATATATGAGGACATTCCATAGGCGTAATGACTTTTATACTGGACAAACTGTATATTCTATCCCCCTACACTGCCCCTATCCCTAAACCTGCCCATCACACACACACACACACACACACACTGCCCCTATCCCTAAACCTGCCCATCACACACACACACACACACTGCCCCTATCCCTAAACCTGCCCATCACACACACACACACACTCTGCTGTGTTTTTGTGATATATGAGGACATTCCATAGGCGTAATGACTTTTATACTGGACAAACTGTATATTCTATCCCCCTACACTGCCCCTAACCCTAAACCTGCCCATCACACACACACACACACACACACACACACACACACACTGCCCCTATCCCTAAACCTGCCCATCACACACACACACACACACACACACACACACTGCCCCTATCCCTAAACCTGCCCATCACACACACACACACACACACACACACACACTGCCCCTATCCCTAAACCTACCCATCACACACACGCACACACACACACACACACACACACACACACACACACACACACACACACACACACACACACACACACACACACACACTGCCCCTATCCCTAAACCTGCCCATCACAGGAGACATGCGGCATTTTTACATTTGAAAAAAAACATTGTTTTTTATGTTTTTTAAGCTATTTGAAATATGAGGACACATGCAATGTCCTCATATATCACGTGTAAGTTGTAATGCCAGTGTAATATGCATGTCATTATACACATTTGTGTCCTCATATATCACAAAAACAAAAGCTCTCTCTCACACACACACACTCTCTCACTCTCACTCACACTCACACTCACACACACACTCTCACACACACACACACACACACACACACACACACACACACACACACACACACACACACACACACACACACACACACACACACACACACACACACACACACACACACTCTCTCACTCACACACTCTCTCACTCACACACTCTCTCACTCACACACTCTCTCACTCACACACTCTCTCACT